GCGTGGTCGCAGAACTTTCGAAGCGAGGCGAACTCAACGCCGGTGTGCAAAGCACAACGGTGAAACATGTCCCCCTGCTTTGTTGCTGTCAAGGTGCTGCCATAAGCTCGGCGACACTGCTCAAAACCAGTTTCCATTCAACATGGCTCGCTCTTTGGCTGGGACTCAAGCACTGTTCAGAACGTGCTGCCCGGCAACCACATTGCGCGAGCAGTGCTTGTTCTGGTTTGTTAGGAGGCGTGGATGTTCCAGCGAATAATGGAAATGCGGAGAGCGGACAAAACCCGTCACAGGAAAGTATTGAAATTAGCCCTTGTGCCGCGGAGACTTTGTCCATGAGTGTGTGAGCAGAAGGCTTGCCGGGACCGCCGGCCTCTGTTGGAGGCGTTGAAAAGAAGCGCACTGCTTGAACTCAGGTAGACGTCGAGCCGCCGTTGCAGGAGCAGAGCTCAAGAGAGCTCAAGCAAGAGTTCATGGACCAGTTTCAGGTTTTGCCCTTCTCGGATGACGAGTCAATTTGCGTGAGAATGTGGGTTGATTAGCGGCAGTAAGCAACTAAGTAACTAAGTGTTTGAGTCTCCGCTTGTTCTGAGGTGTGCTGTAGTGCTGAGCTTTTGTCACGCGGGTACGAAGCATCACGCCTTCACCTTTCGGATTCCGCTTGATCTTTTGACAGGCATGAACTCTGACTCTGATACGCTAAGACGCTGGCAGTCCGGATGCTGCATGTTTTTGGTTTATGACGACAGGGGCGATGTGTTCACGCCTTCGCAAATTGTGTGGGCGCAAGAACGCGCAAGGGCGCGCACATGGACGTGCAAGTGCCAGATGTTACATGTAACCTGTCTAGACCTACGGTTGAAAACTGGTGTGCGCGCCCCACATCCTCCTAGACTGCCGCACGCCAGTATGGTCTCAGTTCATGGTTGGGTCCCAGGGGGTGGAACGAAGACTTGCAAGGGCTGGGTTTAGTGGCCAGTGGTCGGGTGCAATCGCACACATGCGCTCATTTAGTCTCTGGCTCGTGGCAATCAACATAACGACGACTTATCCATGTCGAAGATCGACATGGAAATAGATCCGGTGGGCCGGTGTGGCAATCAGTACTTGGTGACAGAACCGACCGGATCTCATGCGGACAGCCGACAGGCAGGTAGCAAACCACGAGACAAGACCAAAGAATGCAAGCCTTAAGCTGACTTTTCAAGTTAGGTTTCTGCAAAGGATGTGTAAGTACAGAGAGAAGGATCTCTGAAGAGCCCACGATGCCCACGATGTCCAATCTTATTGCCAGAAGATTCCTTGTTACACACAATCAACCCCGCAGTTGTGCATCGGAGACTGGATGCAAGTAGAGCCTCGGGGCCGCGACAGGCGAGCCCGAAAGCCTTCTGCGAACCTAGAGATCTAGAGCCTGACACACGTACGCTTCAGTCAATTTGGTTCAATGGTGCGCAGCCTCAGATTTAGCAGGTGCTTGATGCGGCTTCGGCTGCAGTAGTGACAGTAGTGTGCACAGTGGCTACTGTTCGTGTTGTTCAGAATAAAAGAACGGGTGATGCAAGTGTCGCAAACTGCAAAATCCTCTGTTGCTGCTGCTCAAGCTCCAAATGTCCAGTGCCATCAAACGCCGAGGAGTGTCAGAGCAAATGCCAACCCTCGATCGACTGTTCACTTCCCTCTTGAAAGTGATCGCCGGCGTGCCCCATTTCACCGGATGTGGCAGGTGAGACGAGATGAATCTAGAAAACGAGGATTCGCGATTAGAGACGGCGCAATGCGGGTTTCAAGACCTGCATTGTCAAGGGTCTGCATCACATATGCTGCCTGTGCCTAGTGCACAGGGCAGCATGAACGTCTGACCAGCTCAGGGATCGATAAGTCAAACCACGGCCTTTTGAAGCCAAGCAAGTGGTTGCATGATGTTGTATGTTATAGGACTGTTAGGAAGTTTGCAAACATCGGCCAGGACGCGAATCGGCACTCCAGAGTCATTGTGCAAATTTTGGGGGCGGAGGCCTGCGAGTGCGATCTCGGATGCCCAGCGACGCCAGCATTGGGCGCACATGTAAAGGTTGGAGACCATGCTCCTGCGTTTTTCATCTCTGCCAAGCAGATCGAGCAGGCGATGCGGCTGGCTCGGAATGCAGGCCGGCAAGCACCAACTCTTTTCTTCGTCGCTCGCCAAGTACAAATGGTGAAACAGTCTATACAACACTTGACTTTGTACTGCGCCGGGCTTGAGCCCTGAGCCAGAACCTAGCCGTGGGCAGGACTTCGAGTTCCCGATGTTATTCTCACCGGCTCCTGCGAGACACCAATTGGCAACTTAGACTTCATTGTGCAGGAGTTCATCGTCTCGCAAACAGTAGAGGCCGGCATTAAGGCTTGTGTCGGGAATGAGACTTTTTCGAGCATGAACCACTGCAGTAGATAAATACACGCTCAAGTGGAACAGCGCATCTGCTTTTGTTGTGACAGTTTTTCTTTCGTTTGGTGATGCGCTTTGCATGGGTTCCCCACACGCTCAATCAATGTCAATGAAACCTTCTTCGGCAGGACATCGTGAAAGCACCTCGAGATGAGTGGCATCGTCTGGAAGCCGAGATCCTGACTACACTGAAGAATTCGCCACTTGAGCCTGCAGATGCATCTCCGTTGCATCTCGGACCCGTTTATAGTGCTCTAGGCATAACTGGCAACACTAAATGGCCTAAGAGAAGAGATCGCCTCCAGGCTTTGCTTCAAGACCCTCAACGAGTACTTGACTTGGCTACTCGAAATGGTGCCGCCAAAGCTTCCAGCAATTGCAGAGGCGACTGCTACTAGTACCGTGTTTGTTGGATAGGGAGAGCTTAGCTTCCGTCGTGAGGCCTTGAATCGCTTCCTGCGCGAGAGTTGTGGCCTGAGTGGCCTGTGAAGTTGTTGTCCATGTGTCGATGCACGGCTCCAAAGGTCCACCAACGGAGTCGGGACGAGCCATACTCATGCACCAAGACATCAACAATGGAAATCTGCTTGCTTCTAAAGTGGACGAGGTGACTTGGTGCGCTGGGTTCCGACACGTGTCAATCGCTTTTCAGTCTCTCCAAACAGATGATTCTCACATGGATGGTTGGTCTGCTTCGGCTGGCACATTCGCAGGCATGGAGGCTAGATGCTGTGATCGATTGGGAGACGGCAGTTGCTGGTCCGGAAGAGTTGTGCGAGCGGCCGAAGCAGGCACCGGAGCGTTTTCCGCGGCAAACTGCTTGTGCTTCTTCGTGGGCCGCAGCTGCAGGAGCGATGGCGGACTGCCTTAGCTTTTGGAGATGTCGTGAAGGCGGGTCGCCTGCGAAGTCAACCCTGTAGAGCGGCAATGTTTCTTTCCAGGGAGCCTGGCTGGCTGATCGCATGGCAATGGATGATTTGCCCCGCTGCGTCTTGGAGGACTGCCGCTTGAAATCTTGTGTCGCTCATCCGACCTAAGCTGATGGCAGGAATTGGTCGAAGACTACACAAGGTCTGCAAAGAAGCTTCATCGCAGGACCACTGCTCCGTCGTGAAGCATCGCAGATGTGTTCGTCTCCAGGGTTGACGCATGCATATCGCCAGCAAGTCCCGGAGGAAGAAGCTGAGCTACCAGCCCTGGGCAAATTTGTTGCAGCAGTGCCGTGCTGGCGCTGGAGCTCGACAATCATGCTGAGCCCCCGAGCTTTTCCAACGAGACTACATTAAGACAAGCAGTTTGTAAAAATCCAGCATCATTGCAGCTGCTGATGGGTTCTTGTTTTACATGCCTGCACGCTGTTCGTATCGCTTGCATGCCGGAGTAATCCGCAGTAATTACCTTGGAGGTACTTCGTGTCGCTGTTATACTCCAAGGACGGTGTGCCAAGATGCTCCTGTGTATGACATTGTAGTCACTATGTAGTCCATGTCAGAGCCGGCACCGATGCTCTCCTGGCATTCAGGACAGAAAGAGAAACCCAAGGCTAACATGGATGGCAATTGGGGCCTATGGCTTAAACAGCTTGGTTGCATGGTGCCACATCTTTGAGTCAGAGCACTCTGCCTGTTGCTCCGCATTCAGTCGCTCTGGCCTCGGCACCGTGCGCCGAGGTCATGCTCAGCTCCTTGCTCTTCAGCATCTGCTGAACACTGGTGACACTGGCCAGCAGGAAGCCCCAAGAATTCAGGCAGCCTCAAAGTGGGCCGTGGCTGCGCACACGTAGCCAGACTTAATTGCCATAGTTATACATCTATAGTCTACAATATAGTTGCTGAGACACATCAGCGTTACGGAAAGAATTCCGTGCCTCTGTGCAGCTCGTGCCCGGCAAATGCGAGAAAAGCAACTAGTGTAGAAGCTAGGCAAACTGGTACTTGTACCTTTATGTGCTTTGTCTCCGGAAACCTGGTTGAAGTTGTTAGGTGTGCACGCTTGCATACATTCGATGCGAAACTAGGGAGATCTGCGAGCTCCACGCACTTACAAGGTGCTGTGCACACACGTGTACCACTGTGAGTTCTTCCTGGATATGTCGCAGAAAACATCTGGTTGACCCCGGAGAACAGGGCAGGCTGTACCCGATGCAGCACATATGACATTTCTCTAACATGGTTTAGTTTCGTCCAGTTCGAACAGAGGGTCGGGGGACAGGTGTGTACCATCTGGAGAATCGAATTAAATGATTCGCAAAAAAAACTACCACAGAATCTGTTCAAGGGTTTCTGTAAGCACAGATACATCCATGACAGAACCGTCCTTCGGGCGCCGGGTCACCGGGGGCTGGACCAAAGCCATGCTTGCACTGAAGAAAACGCGCACCGACGGAAAGCATCATCAAACCCGGGTTTAGACAGCCATTTCCAGCGCAGCCTTGAAAACGCGAGAACTAGGCCTCGGGACAAGTGTTTCCATTGACAAGTGTTCCTTAGGGCAAACACTTTCGTAAATGGCAGCATCTGTTTCCAACGAGAGTTGAGTCGCAAGTATCTCGCCCCCGTCCCTCGACGCAATGCACCTTCTCCTTATCCGGCACGGCCAGTCCAAGAACAACGTCCTCGAGGCAGAATGAAAAATCAACGCCTTCCTCTTGCGGAGCTCTTCGCTGCCCTTGTACCTTTGAGGCTGAACATGGCGCAGGAAGCGAATTCAACAACAAGAGGTCCATTGATCCTCCGCTGTCAGACCTCGGTATTCTTCAGGCGTTAGCTGAGTCCCGCCCCGCCTCCTTGCTTTTCCGAAGAGCCACGTTCTGTCGTGCCCGTTCTCACAGGCAGAGCTTCTTGGGAAGCGCCTTGGAGCCCAACTTCGCAGGCCCCAAGAAACCTTGCGGTTTGCAATCGCAAGAACCCTTTGCAAGTGATGCGAGTCTGTGCCCGCAAACGGCTCGACATGGTCAGTTCGAGAAAGAGATTGAAGTTGATGTGCAGCAGCATGACGTGCGTCTCTTACAATGCCACGCCTTTCAGAGATCATAATTCTATCTGCATGTCTTTAAGGCGAGCTCTTCAGACGATCGAGCCCTTGGCGAAGGAGCTGCAGCTGCCAGTGACGGTGCACCCGGATGTGCATGAAGTCAAGGCGACCTGCAACTCCGATGTTGAGTTCTTGGGTTTCGGGGCTGACAGTCTACAGCACGTGCTTGCGAATTAAACCAGGGCTTCTACAATAGGAGCGGAGAGGGGCCCGCTCCGGCCACAGCTTGCAAAGCCATGTCACGCGGCAGGAGTGAGTGCGGCCAAGTGAGATCTTCGCATCCGAAGTCCAAGGTCTGTGGCTCAGGAAAGCAAGCGATAGAACGGCAGTTTCCAGGCGGTTGGGAATGGCTCTCGTGTGAATTGGCTCTTCATGCCTTTAATTAGTCACACGGTCACATGCTGCCCCAGCTTCATGGAAATCCATCATGTCACATGTCTCCATCGCTCTGCACAGCACACATGTGAGGCTCGTGGCTCGTAGGTTCATGATTTGCTTCACCTCTCATGATATCTCAGCATTCTCGGCTTCAGCTTGGAGGTTTCGATGCGTCCCTGATTCAAAATGGCCAAGGAGCTGCACTAGGTAGGACATGGAACGGGCCCAGGCATCAAACCCTGCACAACACCAGGACCAGAGACGATTGCAGAGGTCCGTAAGATTTCGGAAGTTCGAAGCATTCAAGTTCAAGCCTCTTGAGTACAGCCTGGACTCAGGCCGCAGCCCGGGGTGCACGACTCGTGAAGATGCTGAAGAGCTTTGCGAAATCAGGCCATGATGAGGACAGTCTACTTTGAAAGCCGGTGTTGGGCCAGTTCTTCTTGCGGATCGAGGACATTCTCGTCATTGTTTCGCACAACGATCTCCTTGGCTTGCTCGGGCGCGGCTCTGAGGGGCTGAGCTTTCCTCAGATTCGAGCGGTTTGGAAGGCGGCTCTTGTTGGTCCCTTCGGGTGCAGCGCTCGATGTCGCAGCGACCGAGCCGGAGCAGCTCTTCAACGAGAGCCCTACGGGAAGCAGCTTCAGAGTCTTGCAGAGTCTTGCTGTTTGCTGTCTTCGGAGGCTTGCATGGTGTCCAAAGGTTACTGGCCAATGAACAACACCGGCATCAGCCACTTCGTTCTCGGTTTGAGGCAGTCGTCAGAGCTTTTGCATCTCTGCGCACCGTTTCGTGGCGACTTGTTTGTTTCATTTATTCTTTTGTCGGTGCCGATGCGCGGTAATTCCTGCAAGGATTCAGCCCTTGTTTGCTGCAGGCCGCCGGCTGGAGCGTACCAGGTGGATGTCTACCTGCAACACAGCAGAATCATTAGATTGGTGGGGGTGAAGTTCTGAACAATAAGCATTCGTGCACGATGCTGTGGCTTGTGGCTTACAGCCATGCCAGAAACTGAAAGACTCGCTGTCCATAGTGCTCGTTAGTACTTTTTTCTACCTTTTCGGGAACGTCATGCCATCCTCTTGCCAAGCACGAAGCATCCAGGTTATATTGGAACCGCAGCGACCACATGAGTGAATGCCACAGAAGCGGGGTGCAGCTCAAGAACATTGGATTTACTGAATCCGCTGAATGGGCTCGGGCGCCTCGCCAGCAAAGTAGCGACGGACTAGTGACTAGTCATGCTTGAGACCCAGCTGTGATTCAAAGCCTGGAACCTGCTCTGCTACATCACATCAGGTCGGTAGAGGTGGCAGCAAGCGGTATCACCTCTTCCGCGAGAGTGCGGTGGTGCATTGCCATGGCTTTTGGAAGGCAGAGCACTGCCTAAGGGCACAGCTAACAGCATATTCTTAGGCATTCCTCTGAATGAGAAGACACTCCGTGTGAACATGAGATCCCGGCTACCGCAAACCGATAGCGCCGCGGATCGTCACGCTTGCATGGCAGAGTATGGCAGAACTTGCAGGGCAGAGACTCAACGGGACGATACGAGGCTCCAGGCATTGCAAGCGCTGCGAACGAACTGCGGTGGGCACAGCGAGGGAACTCAGCTAGGCAACATGCTCAGAGTTGGCAACTAGAACCCCAGTCCAATCCAAGAACGCCGGGAGGAGCCATGCAAAAAGGCGGTGAAGTGATACTGCGATCTCACAGAGATTAAAGCAACAGCAAGCAGCTGAAAACCATACCGGACCGGTCTGAGCAACGACTCCGTGAGGCCATCGCATCCATGTGGGAGGCATGACTGTCCTGTCTTTCCGCCATTGGCATGTTCGTGACTCCCGGTCGCACGGTTGACGCATCGAGCTCGAAGTGGTACGGGTGTAGTTGCAGTTGCCAGTGGCGAAAGCTTAAGATTAACTTTGTGGTATGAATGCAATGAAATGATTGATAAAAAAACAGCTGGAGTCAACCAGCCAAACGAGAAGTCTCTTGAATGGCTGCTGAAGTCCGGAAGTTGTAGAGAAGCACAATTCTTGTGCGTATGGACATGGAACGAAGTAGCTGAACAACTGAAGCCACGTTGCTCAAGCTACGAGTTTTCGAAATCCCGCCCTCCTCTCCCTTTAAAGGAGTCGGGTCTCTTACGTTCCCCTTTTGCTGGGATTCCTTTTGCTTCAGGCGCAGTTTTTGGCATCCTCGAAGACCACTCCTCGAAAAAAGAGCGAAGCTTCTCGAATTATATATGCTCTGGCATACGCCTATCATGTCTCGACGTTGTTCGCAAATGGACAAGCTTGCATGTTGTTGCTGTTGGGGTTCACCAATGGGATCATTCAAAAAAATTGTTCTCCTTGCCCTCCCTGAGGCATAAGGAAATGCCGGCAGAACGGAAGGTTGTTCGCCCAACTG